GTTTTTTTTGGGGGGGAATTTGATCGGGAGTCTTAGTTTTTCTTTTCCCTTTTTATTTTTTTTTGTAAATAATTAGTTGTACAATGAGTTTGATTAATTGATTTTTCTTGTTTCTTTTGAAAATTTAAAAAGAAAAAGGAAAAAAAAAATTGTTAATAAGAGGTTTGAACTTTGAACTTCAAATTGGAATATCACATTTTTTTGTCATTTGGTGTTTAATTAATTTATTTTTGTTACCACTTAATTAGCTAATTAATCTGCATTTAGCTTGATCGATCCTATGCCAGTTGGATATGAATGATTAGATATATCCACTAACCAAAACTAAATGCTCCAATTAGCTCTTAGCTTGTGTGCCTACATAGGATAAGATATTACTTTAGTAATTACAATGAGTAAAATTTATTTTGCAACCTGAATTAGAAGTGTATATATATGTGATTTAAAATTTTGTATTTTATTATATTTATATATATATATTTTTTTTGGGTAAAATATAGTTTGAATTTAATGAAAATTTATAATTAGTAACTTCTTGTGCATCTTTATTCTTGACCATACATGTCCTTGTCTCAGATGTGTGTTTTTTGTGGATAATTGTATAATCAAAATGAATTAGAGATGATAAGTTATAAATATTTGTATGTACAAATGTATATTATCAATAAAAAAATTACATTTTAAAATGTCTAAAATAGGTATATTCCAAACAATATTTGTTTTCCTCCTGTAGTATAGTAATCTCAAAAGGAAAAAAAAAAAAAAATAAAAGAATAAAAAAAGAAGTAAAGATTTGGGATTTATGACGTCAAGTCTATTGGTAAAGCTTAAAATAAGAGAATGGACTTCAATGCGCAGTTGATTCATTGTCGTTAGGGATGGCAATGGGTGAGAAACCCGCTGGGGGGACCCCCCCGTCACCCGCCCCCATTAGGAAAAATACCCCCGTCACCCGCCCCCATCACCCGTCTCGGGTCTAGATTTCCCCCAGACCCGGCACCCGTGTGGGTGACGGGTACCCATCGGGTGACACAGACCCGATTTCCGGTGAGGAGATCTGCAGCGGCGGCGTCGGTGACTTGACCGCCGGCCTCGAGGTGGAGTTCTGCTCGCCTTCTCCCGTTGCGGCCTGCGGGCTCGACGGCGCCAGCGCGGCCGCGGAAGCGGAACCAGCCATCTTGGTGGAGCGGTGGAGCCGCCGGTCGCACGCAGGAGCTGCCGGCGTGGAGTGGAGTGGAGCTGCGAGAGAGCGAGAGCGACTGCGAGTGTGCGTGGTGGGCGGGGGCGTGGGACTGGGAGAGGCTGAGAGCAAGAGGATGAGATTGCATCTCATATATCTAGGTTTAGTAGTGCTGCCTGTTGAGTTTTGGGCTTGGCCAAAACATATATTGGGCCAAATTATATTGGGTGCATTATACCCATGGTTTAACGGGTATGGGGGGAGGGGGAACGGACCCATCCCCGCTAGACCCGATGGGGGGACATTTTCCCCATTAACAGACCCATGGGGCCAAATTTTAGCCATACCCGGCTCCTAATGGGGTTTTTACCCATCGGGTTTCGGGTTTTGGGGGCCCATTGCCATCCCTAGCCCTACAACCGTTACAGTACACACAGTGGGTGTTGACACTCGCCAGCACAAAATCTTATAATTTTTATTTTAAGGACCGAAATTTTCCAAAATTATCCAATAGACTCCTATAAATAAACTTCTAAAGTCTGAGTCGAGTTCTAGTCTTTAGAGCATCTTCAACGTAGCTTTGAAAGACAATGATTTTTAACACATGTCAATCAATGCTTGTAATGTTAATTCATGTAGGAATAATGTTAAAAGAGTAGAAATTTGAATCAAACTAGTATCTTCAATGCATCAATTTGATAAGAAGTTATTTGCATAGGTGAACTAATTAAAATAATTATTATATACAAAAACAATAAAAAATTAAATCAAATATAAAGTGAATTGATCAGTGTTTGTCATGTTTTTGTTATCTTTTTCTTGATTGGTTTATAGGTTTTTAGCCCCCGGTTTAGGTCTTTTGATAGGATTTTCGGTCCTCGAGTTGTTGGTTTTGTGTAGTTGTCGTTATTCCTTTATTTTCATATTTTCGGTTGTTTCCTCTGTTTTCGGGTGTTATTTTTGTTTTTGGAGGTGTGCAGGTTCGGGTTTTAGACTAAGTGTTCAAGTTTACCCAGTCGAGCTATTCCGGTTTTACAAAGCACCTGTGAGTCTTCCTAATGCCACGCCAGAAGATCCCTTCCAGACCGCCGCGCCGGGCCCTCGTGCCGTGACACCCTTAACGGGCCTTCAGACGGACAAGTTTTTCTCGCCACGCCGCTACGCCCCTCGCGCCGCTACACTTCCCTGCTCCACGATGGCCGCCACGCCGCGACGATCTCCACGGGCATACAGAGGCTCCAGGTCCCTCCGACTGTTGCGCCGCGTCCCTGCCTAGCGCCGCTATGAGATCTATCGCCGCGCCGTGTCAGACCCCCGCGCCGCTACGAACTCTCCTGCCGCGCCGCGCCGTGAGCTCCACGCCGTGACAAAGTCGCGCCTCGCGCCGCGGCGCCTGATATTTTGAACGCCTTTTGAAATATTAAACTGATCGCTACAAAATAGGATCGGGGAGGGTTTTCAGAATTCATTTTGCACTTTCACTTTTCTCTGGTTTTTGGACGAGACGAAAAGTTTGTTCCCTTTTATCTTTGCTTATCTTTGAGAATTTTGGGAGTGACACCCAAAGGATTTCATCGTGGATTTGGATTGTGCTTGAGATTAACACTTTTTAGTTATCTATCGTAAGTTTTCTTCTCATTTGACTATGAGTTTGGAATATTTGCTGTATACAATATTTTGTGTTCATCTCGACATGAGTGGCTAAATCCTTGAGCTAGGGATAGGGGCTGATTACTCGTGTTTGTGTGTTTACCTTGCTTACGATTTTTGTTCGATCTATTCGAGTTGAATTAAACCTAGGGTTAGATGCTTGATCACCATCCTGACCTATTTAATTGGCTTGTAGAACCGAAAAGGGGAGAAGTCGATCGATCTAGGCTCGATTAGAGTAGGCTTGTTCGTGATTGTATTGCCTATGTGTTGTTTGATTGATTTGATTTACCGTCTATGTTTTCCCTCTTGTTACGAGCAGTTATTGAGGATTAATCTCTAGACGTGTAGGTTGATCGAATTATTTAACTGAACAGTTTTAGCTTGGTATTTGCATTGGATTCGAGAGCAATCATCCCTGATTCCCTAGCATTCTCATACTGATAAGTAACTCGTTTTAAGTCATTTAAAATTGTTCATTTGCGTTATCTGAGAATTAGTAGTCGATAATTAAAAATCAAAATCATCGTATCAGAGTGTTTAGGAAATTAATTTCTTCTTCTTGGGATTGAATATACGTACGAAATAATCCGGCTAACCTTCCTTGAGACACGACCCGGGGATTGAATCATTTGGTTTTACTCCGGTAAAAATAACTACAACAATTAGTTATCATATTTAACACGGTGTTAGATATTAGAAAGTGTGTTCAATATTAAATGTTATCCACCTCATCAAGAAAGAGTTCATGACAAGATGCATTTGAGAATAAATTAGTAACACACTTTCAAAAGTTGATGATATGGATGAATTTTTATAATGTCAAAAGTCACATTGAAGATGCTCTTAACGTGTTGAATTAGGTTAAAATCTTAGAAAATTACATAAAAATTTATATGTTTTAGTCAAGTTCATTAACTAAATGAGCATTGGTATCGAACTCGAGCCTTAATGAACCAAACAAAACTCAACTCACGAACAACTCATTAACTAAATGAGCCTTGAAAGAGGCAAACTCACCGAACCAAACTCTTATTTTAACGAATCAAACTTACGAACAATTTGTTTTATTCACCATTGTATCGATAAATCCATAATTTGCTTAGAACACCCTTATCCTCTTTCCTCCCCTCAACCCCTTAAAGCTCAACTGCATAAATGATCGAAAATCCTTCAATCACTCTTTAAAAATACCAACCAAACAGAACCAAAATCACAAATAGCTTATAACTAAATTAACCTTAAACGAGCTTGAACTCAATTCATCTAGAACTCAAAATAGATTCAAATTTGAACGAATCCCTCCCTATATATTAATTGAGAACGTGCTGAACCTATGTGGCAGGCTCGCATGCTTCGGGATCCTATGTGGCAAAAATATATGTTTCGTTATTAGGCTTGGGTAGATTTAGTTTACTTCTAATCCAAATATATTTAGGTTCGGATTATCTATAATATGTTGATTATTTATGGTAAGGGTGGGCGCCGGCCAGGACGGTCTTGGATTTGACTTGTCCGGATACCCATCCCACTTTTATGAATCCGTCCATGAACGAGGCACCGTCGCCACCCGGCCGGGACGGTCTTGGATTTGACTTGTCCGGATACCCATCCCACTTTTATGAATCCGTCCATGAACGAGGCACCGTCGCCACCCATGTAATACATGGGTGTTGTACTAGTTGAGTTTAATAGACACGGTTTAATTTATTCTATCAATAATAAACCCCTAATTTGCTTAGAATACCCTCGTCCTCTTTCCCCCCCTCGGCCCCATAAAGCTCAGCTGAATAAATGCTAAAAATCCTTCAGTCCCTCACTAAAAACGCTCTCTTTCTCCTCTGGGCTCATTTAAATGTAGATACAGAAACGGAATATAAGTATTTGTATCTATATATGTATGTATACATGCGAGTATTTACTCGTTTTATCGGCTTAACGTAGAGGAGTCGATCTGTTTT